AGCAAGATAGTGCATACCTGTCATGTGGGAGCCTGAGGCAGGAAGATCGCCAGTTTGAGCCCAGCCTGGGCAACTCAGTGACTTAGCAAGACCCTGTCTCAGAATGAGAACTAGAAGGACTGGGGATGGAGCTCAGTACACAGGCCCTGGGTTCCACAGGCCTTGTGCTCGTGTCCCACAAGAGTGCAAGGAGTGGAGGGAACAAAGCACACTCCCAAAAGCTCTGCAGCGTGCTCCTCACCCAGCACATGGGCAAAACAATGCTGAGCTTTCCTTTCGCTGCACTGGGGTTGGAACCCAGAGCCTGGTGCACACTAGGCGGGTGTTCAACGCTGACCTGGACCCCAGTTCTCTTTAAAACATTTTTTAAAATTTTGAGACAAGGTCTTTTTATGTTGCTCAGGCTGTACTTGACTTTGTGATCCTCCTGCCTCAGCCTCCCAGGCATCAGGGGTGACAGGCGGGCACAACGGCATCAGCTGGTTTTATATATTCTTTTCCAATGCGAACTTTCCGAACAGTGTCACTTGTGCACATGGCTCAGAGATCAAACCCTACCAAAGGGTATTTATATATCACCCAGGCCCTGTGGCTCAGGGTTTGTTCTCTGGTCCCAGAGACAATCAGTTAATTAGACTCTGAAATTTCCTCCCGGAAAAATGATTTACGGAAAATAATTTACACAGGCGGAATGGTGCGCTGGGCAGGTTTGCTTTTCCACTCTTCTGAGCCCTTCCCAGGCCCACCTTTCACAGCACTGGGGTCAGAACCCAGGCCTCCTGCATGCTAGGCAAGCGCTCACATTGGGCTGCACACTCCAGTGTTCCCTGTTTGTAAACTATTTAAATGTGGAAGCATATCTTTTATTTCTGTTTATAACTGCAGCCTTTACATTGTACAGAAGCTTCAGAATCCTGTGTGTTTTACCTTTGTTATTTTTGAGACAGGTCTTACTGTGCAGCCCATATTGGCCTCAAATTCGAGGCAGTCCTCCTGCCTCAGCCTCCTGAGTGCTGGGGTGACAGGCATGCACCACCACACCTGGCTCTGTGTGTTTTATCTTAAATAATATGCAGGTAATAGTACCAAAAAACAAAACGAAACAAAAAAACAGAAAACAGGGCTGGATTTCGCTCAGTGGTGAGCTAGCAAGGGTGAGGCCCTGGCTTCCATCCCAGCACTGCAAAAATAAAGAAAAAAGAAATAAGTAAGGAAAATAAATGTGAAATTTGTCCACTTGTGGGTTATGGGTGTGGGTGGTGGGAATATAAGTGATTATTCTTTCTTCTTCCTTTTTTCTTTCTTTCTTTTTCTTTTCCTTTTTTTTTTTTTGTGTGTGTTTTTGAGACAGGGTCTCTCTATGCAGTTCAGGCTGGCCTTGAGCTCACTTTGTAGCCCAGGCTGGTCTCGAACTCACAGCAACCCTCCTGCCTCAGCCATTGGAGTTCTGGGATCACAAGCCTGTGCCACCACGCCTGGAGCTCTTTTTTTTTTTTTTCTTTTTCCCTTCCTTCTTTCCTTCCTTCCTTCCTCCCTCCCTCCCTTCCTTCCCTCCTTCTTTCCTTCCTTCCCTCCTTCCTTTCTCTCTCTTTCTTTCATTCCTTCCCACCCCCCAGTGTCAGTGGTGGAACCCAGGGTCTTCACACTGAACTACATCCCAGCCCATTTTAATTAATTTTTTTTCCCATTTTAATTTATATTTTGAGACAAGGTGTCCCTAAGTCACTAAGTTGTGACCCTCCGCCGCCAAGCTCACAGAGTGGTGGGATGACAGGTGTGCACTCCTGTGCCTGGACCTTAATGGTCATAATTTTAAAATTTTTTGTCTAAGACATTCTGGATCATCTGGCAGCCAGACACACTTGACTGAGGCCCCCTCGTGGCAGTGTGTGTGAATTACAAGTGTGGGCATGTGAACGCGTGTTTGCACGGATGGGGGAGAGGCTGTTCACACCTGCGTTCTCGAGGCACAGCTACAATTTGGGAACAACGAGTAAATATAATCCCCTCTGAAAACATGGGAAGACATTAGAAAGCGCTTGAAATTTAAAAAAATATTTTTGCTAGGTGTTAAAACGAACACCGGTCATATCAAGCTACTCCAACGGCTGAGGCAGGAGGATCTCAAGTTCGAGCTCACATTGGGCAACTTAGTAACATAGTAAGACCCTATTTTAAAATAAAAATGCAGCCGGGTGTGGTGGAGCACCCCTATAATCACAGCACTTGGGAAGCTGAGGCAGGAAGATCACTGTGTGTTCGAGACCAGCCTGGGCTACATAGTGAACTAAAGACCAGCCTAAAATACACAGCAAAACCCTGTCTCAAAATATATATATATGTTCAGCACCTGCCTGGCAAGCACAAGGTCCTGAGTTCAATTTCTGAAATAAAATAAAAAATTCAGCCGGGCGTGATGGTCTATGCTTGTAATTCAGGTACTCAGGAGGCTGAGGCAGGAGGAACGCTGTGAGTTCAAGGCCAGCCTGGGCTACACAGGGAGATCCTGCCTGAACCAGAAGAAAAAAAAAAAAAAAAAAAAGAGGGCTAAGTACGGAGCTCAGTGCAAAGGGCCTGGTTTCACTCCCCAGTCGGGCCACTGAACCTGCATGTGTCCGCGGTAGATGCGGGACCAGGTTTGGTGGCCGAGGCGGGGCTCTCACGGGGCTGGTGTCGCCCGCAGCCCTCCTCTCCACTCAGGGTGTCCAGGTGGAGCACAGCGCCGAGCTCCGGGGGATCCGCTTTGCCAGCTCGCTGCAGCGCGACACCTCCGACTATCACCGAGCGCTCACCGCAGCGCTGGAGACGCTGGTGCGCGGGCCAGGGCGGAGGCCTGGGCGTGGCCGGGACCTAGGGGCGTGGCCAGTGTAGGGGCGTGGCCGGGTGGGACCTGGCACCACTGCATTGATGCCAGGTCTGGGGGCGTGGTCGGGGTCGGGAGCGTGGTAGGCCCGGTGCACACACGGACAGGAGTTCCAGTGGGGATGGAGTCACACAGGAGTTGGGTCCACTTAGACTCTCTGGATTTTACACTAGTGAAAACTTCAGGGTGCCTATGGGCACGTGGGGTTCGAGCTGAAGCAGCCTCTGTGAACAGGCTGGTGGCGCCTGCACAGGTTAAATGTGAGCTGGGCGTGGTGGCGCACGCCTGTCCTCCAGCACTCTGGGAGGCTGAGGCAGGAGGATCACCAGTTCCAGTCTAGCCTAAGACTAAGGGAGTTTTAGGAGACAAAATGGGCAGGCACCATCCTGTGTCACTTGTGTTTTGCCTGTCCTGGACCTTTCCTGTCCATGGAGCCCACACTGTGTGTCCTGTGTCTGATGCCTCTCACTGAGCTCAGCCTCCTCAAGATCCCTCCACACTGTGGCGAGTGTCACAGCTGCGCTCCTTTCCTAGCTGAGTAATATTCAAGGGTAGGGATGCCCTTGCTGTGTGTCCATTCATCCATCTGTGGATTCCCCAGGCTGTTCCCACCCTTAAGCTGCTGTGGACATGGTGTGCACCTTCCTGGGAGTCCACTTTCAGCTCTTGGGGTTATGCAGCAGAAGTGGGCTTCATTCCTTTTCACAGCTCAGTAATATTCCATTATCTGGATGGACCGTGCTGTTTATCTATCCCTTGATGGGAAAGTATTTTATTTTTCATTTTAAAATGGGGTTTCTTCAAACCAGTAAGTGCCCCAGCCTGGTTTCAAACTTGTGATCCTCCTATCTTAGGCTCCCAGAGTGCTAAGATAACAGTCTTGGATTACCATGCCTGACTGGAGCAATAATTTTATATTAATAACTTTGAAGACCTCCCCTCTCCTGTACTGTTCACAGCTCTGTGAGCTCACTGTATTTACTGAGCTTTAGAAGATGATGCTTTGCTTAGAACCTACTCTGTGACCAGGTCCCTCAAGTGCGGGATAGGCCTCTGCCCTCGTGGCAGGGGCCATGCTGTGGGGCTCAGCACTTACTGGTGTTGTCTCTGTTGTAGTTTCTAAGTAGTTTCCAGGAGACGGAGTTAGAATCAAGCTGCGTGGGCTGCACAGTCCTCAGTTACAGGTGAGTTGGGGCTCTGTGCAGGTGAAGGAAACTTGGTAGGTATCAGAGATGCCAGAAAATTGCAGAAGATTCTAGAAGATGCTGGAAGATTCCAGAAGCTTCTGGAAGATTCCGGCAGAGTAAAATGCTTTCATCTCCAGGGCTGTCTCTTATATGTAGGGAAGGGAACTCCAGTGTCCTGGTGCGTTTCCGGCTGCACTTTTTGCTTCGAGCCCTCCAGTCACTGAGTCTGGACCTTGAGGAGGAATTGTTGCAGCAGGGTATCCGGGAGAAGCTGCGAGAAAGCGGCATCTCGCTGGCTGCCTATGGCACCATTGTGTCGGCTGAGCTCACAGGTGAGAGGGTGGGAGAGACGGAGACCCTGTGTGAGAGGCTGAGGACGGGAGCCATCTCAAATTGCACTTAAACTTCAGTTTTTGTCAGACACTATGGCCATGCCTGCAATTCCAGGAGGAATTCAGGAGGCTGAGGCAGGAGGACTGAAAGTTAGAGCCCAGCCTGGATGACTTAGCAGCTTAGTGAGACCCTCTCTCCAAAAGGGCTGGGGATGGAGCTCAGTGTGAAGGCCCTGGGTTCAATGCCCAGTACTGAAAAAAAAAAAAAAATTATGTTCAAATAACTCTTAATTTAATAATGGCTCAAAGCACAAGAGTAGTGATGCTGGAAAACTTTTTACCGTATTTGTTATAATTGTTCTACTCTGAGTGGCTCTGTAGTGCAATGGATAATGCACTGGACTTCTAGAGAGTATAATTGTTCTACTTTATCTTTTGCAGTGCTAGGCTGGAACCCAGGGCTTTGCATGCCAGGCAGGTGCATGACACTGCACCACACCCCATGTGGTGCTATTTTATTATTTGTTCTTTTAATCCCTCACTGTGCCTAGTTTATGAATTACTCCTCAGCATAGGTGTGTGTGTAGGAAAAGCTATAGTACCCACAGGATTGGGCTCTGTCTTTGGTTTGAGGCACCCACTGGAGGGGGGCGGTCTTAGAACACATATCCTGCAGATAAGGGGGGCTCTATACTGGAAAGAATGGCTGTGGTCATGTGTCAATAAAACTTTATTGGCAACAACAATGGACTGTGTGCCAATAAAACTTTATTGGCAACAACTACCTGTGAGCTATATTTGGTCTACAGCCATCAGTTATGATCCTCTACCATAGAAATGAGTAAATGCGGTGCTCTACAACTAATGATGCACTGGGGCCGGGCGTGGTGGTGCACGCCTGTAATCCCAGCACTTGGGAGGCTGAGGCAGGAGGATCATTGTGAGTTCGAGACCAGCCTCGGCTACAAAGTGAGCTTAAGGACAGCCTGAACTGCACAGCGAGACCCTGTCTCAAAAAAAAAAAAAACAAAAAAAACAAAAAAAACCTAAATGCTGCACTGGGCATGGTGGCACACACTTGTACTTCCAGCACTCAGGAGGCTGAGGCAGGAAGATCACTATGAGTTTGGGGCCAGCCTGGGCTACATAGTGAGTTGAAGACCGGCTTGGACTATATAGAGAAACTCTGACTCAAAAGAACAAAAATAAATAAATAAATAAATAAATGGCATTGTGCTATAACTGAAAACCAGACAGTTGTCAGATTAAAGATTTGTCACTTTAACCCATGCTGTAAGCCCCCTGTGGTTGTCAAGCCTAATGTGTGGCTCATATGGCCAGGGAACAGAATGCTTCATTTGATTATATCTGAAATTTTTTTGAGGTGAATGAATTGAGATAGGATCTTGCTATGTGATTCAGGCTAGACATGAACTTGAAATCCTCCTGCCTCAGCCTCCTGAGGAGCTGGGATGACAGGAGAACACCCCCTGTGCCTAGCTTTGATTCTATCTGACTTCAGCTGGAATTTGGGTGGCCCTGGGGTGGGCAGTGCACCTCCCCACCTCCCTCTGCTGCTGTCCCGGATAAAAGGTCACCAGGCTCCCCTTGGTGAGGCCTGTCTCCTCTGTTTTGCATAGGAAGCCGGAAGGGACCAGGGGCCGACAGAGACCTAAAATCAGGTAGGTTTCTCTCTGTGGCGGGAGTGGCGGGCATGGCCAGGTCTCTCCGGGCCAGTAGCCTGCTCAGATGTCACCAGAAAGCTTCTCTCCTGAGAATCGAAGGGCTGCTGGGTCTTGTCCACAGCCGGGGGTGACATCGAGACAGTCTTGCTGGCCTGCGGTTTATTTATTATTATTTGTAGTGCTGGGGTGGAACGCAGGGCTCCGCAAGCCAGGAAAGTTGCTCGGATTTGCCCGCGCCCTGCCCTGTGGCCCCAGGAGGTGAGGTGGTGCTCTGGGCTCTTCTCTGTCCCCAGGCCACTGTCCTGAGAACTCCTTCTCCTGCCGCAGCAGCCAGTGCGTGAACAAAGTGAACCCCGAGTGTGATGGCCAGGCTGACTGCTCTGACGGCTCGGATGAGGAGCTCTGTGGTCAGTGGTGCCTGGCAGGGCTTGGGCCTGGAGTTCCCTGGGGGTGGCGGGCGGCCCAGGAGGGGATGTGGCGGAGGGGACCGATGTGTTCAGGGGTGTGGGGTACAGAGTCCTTGGGTGAGATGAGAACAGAAATCAGGCTGCAAAGGCTGGTTTGGGCCAGAGCTGGGCATGGTGGCACAGGCCTGTAATTCCAGCACTGGGGAGACTGAGGCAGGAGAATCACAGCAAGTTCAAGACCAGCCTGGGCTACATTGTGAAACCCTGTCTCAAAAACAAACAAACAAAAAACCAAACAACCATATAACCAAAGCCAAAAACAGAATTTTGAACCTTGCAAAATTTGCAAAAGTAAATGTGCAGTGTAGTGCTTGGACAGACGGGGTGATGGTTCCGGGGACAGAACGGTGTCCTCAAACTATGGACACCGACAGGAAGGTTCCTAAGACCACCCTCTGGTCAGTGAGCACAGAGAGCTCTTATGCTTGTGGTTATTGTCTGTTTTATTTTTATTTTTTCCGGTACTGGGCATTGAACCCAGGGCCTTCACACTGAGCTCCATCTCCAGCCCTTTTTATTTTTTATTTTGCGACAGGGTCTCTATAAGTCGCTCTTGCCCAGGCTGGCTGGAACTTGGGATCCTCCTGCCTCAGCCTCCCAGAGTCCCGGGAGGCCAGGCGCGCGGATGAACCTGAGGCGGGTGCGCAGGGTCCTAGCGGGTGCCGTCCTGTCTTGCAGAGTGCGGGCTGCGGCCGGCCTGGAGGGCGGCGGGCCGGATCGTGGGTGGCGCGGAAGCGGCCCCGGGCGAGTTCCCCTGGCAGGTCAGCCTGCGCGAGAACAGCGAGCACTTCTGCGGGGCCACCATCGTGGGCGCCCGGTGGCTGGTATCTGCCGCCCACTGCTTCAACGAGTGAGTCCTGCCCGGCGGGCCGCCTGCGCCTCAGGCCCGGCCTCCCCACCTTTGTCCGCCTTCCCAGGTTTCTTGGGGAATCTCTCCCGCACTCTTTCCCTCGCCCCTCTTTTTAGCGGTACTGGGGACTGGACTCCGGACCTTCACACCAAACTGCATCACCAGCCCTTTAAAAAAATTTAGTTTGGAGGTTGGGCGTGATGGCTCACTCCCTTAATCCCAGCACTTGGAAGGCTGAGGCAGGAGGATCGCTGTGAGTTCGAGGACAGCCTCGGCTACAAAGTGAGTTCAAGGCCAGCCTGAAGTGCATAGAGAAACCCTGTCTCAAAAAGATTAAAAAAAAAAAAAAAAAAAAAATTAGTTTGAGACAGGGCTTCACTAAATTGCCCAGACTTCGCTTGCGAGAATTGAGATCCTCCCGTCTCAGCCTCCGGAGTGCTGGGACTGCAGGCATGCGTACCACCCACACTGGGTGTCCCCTTACAGCGCGCGCCCAGGTGCCGCCCCCCACGCCCTCGTCCTAGCCCCAGCTCCAGTCCGTGCGGCCGGCCCTGCCCGCGCCCTCCTCCGCCCGCTGAGCCGCTGCTCCCCGCAGGTTCCAGGACCCCGCCGAATGGGAGGCGCACGCGGGCTCCACGGCGCTGAGCAGCGCGGAGGCCGGCTCGGTGCGCATGCGCGTAGCGCGCATCGCCAGGCACCCGCTGTACAACGCGGACACGGCGGACTTCGACGCGGCAGTGCTGGAGCTGGCGCGGCCCCTGCCCCTCGGCCGCCACATCCAGCCCGCCTGCCTCCCGGCCGCCTCGCACGCCTTCCCGCCGGGCAGCAAGTGCCTCATCTCGGGCTGGGGCTACCTCAAGGAGGACGTCCGTGAGCTGCGGTCCGCCCCAGGGCCGGGCGGGAGGAGCCGAGGGGACGCGGGCGCACTGCCCCCTTTCAGTTTCTTGCGTTTCCGGAGCCGGGGGTGCTTCGCCCTGATCGCCATCCCCGGCCCGTTTTTATTTTTTTTTTATTTCGAGATGGGGTCTTACTAAGTCATAAAACTGCCCAGGTTGGGTTTGAACTTGTGATCCTCCTGCCTCAGCCTTCCAGAGTACCGGGATTATAATTGTGCGCCACGACACGTAGCTTTGCTATCATTTCTGTGTTACCCAGAATTGATACTGTTGGGATTTTTGTGGCCATTCACAGAAAGGTGTGGAAAGGTATTGAATTTGGTGGCCTGAGGCACCTGTCCCGAGCAGAGGTGGTACAAGGCCACTGTGTACATTCTTGTTTTATTTTGTTTTGTTTTTGTATTTCTGAGGCAGGGTCTCATTGTGTAACCCAGGCTGGCCTTGAGCTCACATCAGTCCGTCCTCAGCCTTCCCAGTGCTGGGGTGACAGGCATGCGTCACCACACCCAGCTTTTTTTTTTTGTTTTACATTCTTGTTTTATTATGTGGTGTGTTGGTCAGATTTCCATTGGTGTATCAAAATACCTGAGAGGATCAATTTATAAAGAGCAAAGGTTTAACCGGGTGTAGTGGTGCACACCTGTCCTCCCAGCACCCTGGGAGGCTGAAGCAAGAGGATCACACGGGGGCTGGGGATTTAGCTCAGCGGCAAAAGCGCCTGCCTGGCAAGCACAAGGTTGTGAGTTCGGTTCCCGGTACCGGAGAAAAACCAAAA